GCGCCTGCGAGTTAAATGGAAGCCGAAAGTTGCTGGGAAGTTGCTCGGGTTTCCGGGGCTTCCAGGCTTAAACTTTGCACAGGCAAAGTTTGCAGGCGGGAGCGTCTTCCCACCGAGGAGAGGGAAGAGTTCCGCCCGGTGGGCGGGTGGGCTGCTTGGAGGAGGCGACCCGGTGGTGCTCTGGCAGCAGCAACAGGCAGTTCCGCCCGGGCTCCGCTCAGGTGTCCGGCTGGGGCTGTCAGGAGTTGCTACCACCGGCGCGGCTCCAGTCCCACGTTGCCTTGGGAAGGAAAAGGCAAAACCAGGAGCCGCTGAGCCTGAGCCTCCGGTGCAGCTGCTGCCGTTGCAAAGCACCGCCGCGGCTCTTCCTTTTTGCCTTTCCCTTCCCGAGGCAACGCGGGACTGGAGCTGCGCGGAGCCGCGCCGGCGGTAGCAACTCCTGACTCGGGGCCTCCGAGGGGAGGGGAAGGAGGAGAAGAGGGGGGGGAAAGGGGGGGGCGATTCCCAAAAAATCTTGTGCTGACCCGGCCCGTCTGTCAAATTTTAAAAGTCAATGCGGCCCCCGAGCCAAAAAGTTTGCCCACCCCTGGGTTAGGGGCTTTGTCCTGATTCCTAGCTTTAGGACTGTGGGCAGGCTGATCAGGCAACAGGTACAGACTGTGTCTATGATTGCTTCTACTTCCCCTTACGCCCCTGTCTTGGGCACCACTAGCCTTGACTGGATGGCGGAGAGACGGATGGCTTTACTTACCATTGGGTCGTCCTCGCAATCATCGCTGTCATAAACCATCGGCAGTTGGGCTCCTTGGGCCGGAGTTCCTTCTTCCCCACTCGACATCTTGGCAGGCAAATTTTCCCTTCTCCGTAGTCTTCCGCGGTGGTCTCTTCGGCTTGGCTGATTCTGACGACTTTGCTTTTGGCATGGGGGCTGGAGCCAGGCATTCAGCCGCTCGGTGGCCCTGGTGGCTGCATCGGAAACACTTGATTAGCAGCGCTGAGGTTCCCCTCGGTTGTTCTTCCACTTGGTGGAGACTGGACCGTCAGACTGAGTTGCTGCTGCCACAGGCTGGCTTGTTGGCTTCTTTTTGGTCGATCCTCCTTGTGCCGGTGAAGCTCGCGGTCCATGGCCACTGTCCTCCGGTACCACTCGTGGATGTGATCAGGAACCTCTCAGCAGATGCAGGTTTGGAGCAGCTCCTTGTCCAAACCTTCCTTAAAGAAGTAGACCAGGAGTCACTTGGGTCAGTGCAGCAGTTTGCCAGCAACTCTTCTGAACTCACGGACGTATTCTTCGGCAGGGCGGCCCCTCTGCTTGATCTCTTTGATCTCTGCCTAAGCTTCCTAGGCTTGGGATTCATCCTTGAATCTGGCCCTCAGCTCCTGTAGGAAAGCATTGATATTTCCCAACTCTGACATGTCCTCGTTGTGCAGTTGGTTCATCCACTCCACTGCTTCCCCCTCGAAGTTCTCTGTAATTGCCCTGGATCATCAACTGATCACTTGGATAGTCAGGGCCATATTCATCGATGTGGGCCCACACTTGGTTTAGGAAGAATGCCAGCTTGTCTGGGTCCCCGTCGAAAGTGGCTTTAAACTGTGGTGGTGGCATCGTGGCAGGGGTCCATTGGGCTTGGACCCAGCCATGCCCGGGATAGTAAGCCCAACCGAGAAGCACCTGCCGTCTCGGTGGAAGTTGGGGCTGTCTGGGCGGGCTAGCAGCTCTTTGGCATCTTGGTGGGCTCTACCGTGGTCCTGAGCTGGATTTTCGCTGATAAGAGGTGGCGGGGGGCTAGCTGTCCAGGCCGTTGTGACAATCTGTTCCTGCTGGGAAGGGAACATCAATAGGAACCCAAATAACATTTCATATGTTTTACAAGTTATATCTTTGATGATGATGGGTTTGGGTTTCCAAAATTGTGGATTACGACATCAGAAAGGAGATCAAAGAGCAGTGATGGCCTTGAGATGGGGGAGGCTCTCTCCTTGAGCCATAATATGGTTTATTTGGAAATAGCTTGAATATAGCAGTTGTGCTTTATTATATGAAATCAGTCCATATGTCCCAATAGGTGAGGATGATAGGTGAGGTAAGCAGTAGTGTAGTTTGAAATAAGGGTAGGCAACAGTATATAGCTATATAGGTAGGCAACCTTTATAAGAAGTGCACTCTTTCATAAACTTTGAGATTAATAAAATAGTTCTCAGGCTGTAGTTCTGTAGGCCAGCTTACTACTTTGGAAGACTCTTCTGTTGTGTACCCTCCTGTCTTCCCCGCATCCAGAATGCTGCTTTCTTCCACTATGCCCCTAATAATTTCCTAATCTATGTTGCAATCTTCTTGTCTTTAGCCTTTCCAGAACACTGTTAAACAGCTAGCCAAGGAAGAGGAGAAGGACAAAACCAAACGGAAAGATCCTGCCCTTCTGTCTCTAGGGGACTGGGCCAAGAGTGGTAGGACCGGTGGCCTGGAGGGCTTTGCCTTTGGGACTGGCTTTCGAGGAGTCCTCAGGCTTCCCTCCTTCAAGGTAAAGGCCAGGGTGTTCTCTGGTGCTGGAGGCCTGTTCAGGAAGCTATACAGAGTGGGACTCATATTTCTTCAGGGACAAATGATTTAGTTTGACTCCCATCTGAAACATGGTGCTCTACTCAGGAATCCCACTGTTTCCTTTTGCCACAGGTGAAAAGGAAAGAACCCTCTGAAATCTCAGAGTGCAGCGAAGTGAAACAGCCCCGCCCTTCTACTCCTGCTGAAGAGGATGAGGAAGGTATGTTGCCTCACCTCCAGGTTGTTTTTTATACTCTAACTTTTTATAATTGGCAAGAGGATGACATTTTTTATTTTCTTACAAAGCATCAGTATCCTTTGCTTTAGCCAGGAAAATTCCCATGCTCTGAATAAAAACCAGGCTGTCCCTTCTCTCTGGTTTACAGTCTGAATAGGTGTGATGCAGAACTGGATAAAAAATGAAACCAAGATAGGTTTGGCCAACTGTGATGGAAATGGGCTGCACAGGGAGGTTTAGAGAATACCACTCCCTTGAGAATGTTAATGTTGCTTTTCCTCACTGGGCCATTGGTCTCATTGTCTTGGGAGAGGCTTGAGCCTACATGGCTACAGCAGGAAAGGGAGATGAAGTTCCTTGTTGCATTTTGCTATTTTCTTCATTTTCCCTCTCTATTCCACTTTGCAGATAAAAAATCCTTACAGATACCCAAGACCTCCAAGAGGGACGATGAAAGGATCAAAGGTCCAGGAAAGCGGCGAAAACTTTTTTGTCTGGACAGTGAAGGAGAGGAGGCATCTGAGGACTCCTTCTCAGAGAAGGTGAGAGGAAACTAACATTGTTTGAGCTGCTCCTGCTTATTGACTTCTAGATCCTGAGGTACCCTTGTGTGCTTGGTCAGATGGTATGTTGATTCCCAGGAGAACCTTAACTCTTTTTTTTCTTGTCATGCTTCTCCAAAAAAGCCTCCCAAAGGAAATGGTTCCCCTGCAGAATTCAGAATAATTCCGCAAGCCTTAAATGTTGTTGAGATAAATCTACTGCTCTGTGATTTGGGAATTCTAGCCAGAATTTGCTATGGATGCATTTGGGGGGATGAGTGTGTAATGGGCTTGTCCCTGGGGAACTTTTTATCACCATCTTCCTAGGAGGAAGAGGAAGAGCGGCGCGAAAATGAACAAGTTGCCAGAGGACGCAGCAGAAAGAGGGAACCACCTGAAGGTATTTTTTAGTTAATAATTAATTGATGAGACCTCATTAGCTGAAACACATGGTGACTTGCCATTATCTACATCAGGGGTGTTAAAACTCGCAGTGTCACAGCAGCATCACATGACGTAATGGGACTTTTCCCCGCTTTGCTAAACTAGGTGTGAGCATGGCCAGCATGTGATGCATCCAGCCTGTGGGCCATGCCCACACCCAGTTTAGCGAAGGGAAAAAAAGTCCCATTACATCATGTGACGATGCTGTGACAATGCCAGTTTGACACCCCGATCTACATCATCATGCTAATCATAATAACTGTTGATACCTGTGGAGGTTAAAGCTGGGTTTAAGCTGTTTATCTTGTTTTGTTTTGGGGGTTGTTTTTGTTTTTTGGTTTATTGAATGCTGTCTGGAGAGCTTCAGTGGGTAGTCAGATAAATTCTTTAAAACAAATAATTTCAAATTCTTAGAAATGTGTTTAATACAACTTTTAATGAATTCATTTCTTCCAAATGTGCACTCACCACCTCCACCACTCCAAGATTATCTCCCACAATTCATATCATTTTCAGAGCATTTCTCTGTCCCATAGGCCAGCAGAACATCAGCATTTGGCAGTGTTACTAATATAAATATATCCATGTGCTACTCACTGCTCAAACTGATTAAAACCCCAAACTAAACTTTGTATAAAGTATTCAGTTTGGGCCTTATCTGTTTTCCTATAAGTGTATAAAAGAAAATACTTTGCAGGTATTTTTCATTTCAGAAGGAAGGACAAAGAATTATGTAAGTGTCTAAAATCTGTCCTTCCTGTTTCTTCAGTTTTCTCACATCGAAATGTATTGTTCTCATTTGAAGCAACAGTAATAATAATGGAATCCTAAGAAAGCTAAATTCTGGACCCGTCATCATGCAATATGTGGAAAACCTTGGGATTATTTTATTCATTTTTTTATCCTTGGCACAGATCTTGATAGTGATGGTTCATCAACGTATTCACCTTATGAGGAGTCTGATGAGGACAGTGACAGTACTTCTGATTCTGAAAGCAGCTCTTCTTCCTCATCTTCCTTGTTGTCGTCATCCTCCTCTGATGAGGTTGAGAGCATGGAGGAAATAGATGATTCTGCCACAGATATCCATCCATCAGAGTCATTAGGACGCACGGAAGAGAGAATATGGCCAGCAACAGACATTGAGACAGGCAAGAAGTCAGAAGCAGTTCTGCTTCAAGGTGAGATGCTAAGCTCTGGATTTCCCTAGGAAAAGCCTATTGGTCCTTCCAGAATGAAGGTTGAGAAATGGGGAGGACAGCAGCTGCATCTTATAATGATTCCTGTGCTTTGAAGCTAGGAGTAATTTGCCCTGTTTTCAGCCACTAATTCAAAAGCAACCTCAGGGCTTTGTACACATGTATGCTGTCCCTAGATGACTTAATTCTGTATTACAGTTTTTGGTGCAACTGTTCTGCTGATAACACTCAGTTCCATCTGTCTGTACCAGACATTTCCAAGTGTTTTTCTGATACTGTCTGGGAACTGATATGTCCAAGGTTAACCCATTTTAACTCTGGCCTCTTTGTGTGAGCTTTCAGTGTCCATTGGCAATGACATAGTCTACCTTATTGATCAGAGATAAAGCCTTAATGTTCTCTTTGACATCTGTCTTTCCATCTTCAGTTTGTCACCAAATCATACACTCCTATAGAAGTTCTCCTGTCTCTCTTCCACCTCACCACCACTATTGTTGCACCTGGAACCCTCACAGCCTAAGGTTCTTTTGACAGGCCTTAATAGAAGCTGGCCACATGGAATGATAGATTACACATCAGCCTAATTAATAAATTACCATGAGTAGGAATAGGGAGAAGGGTTCATTTTGCTTGGACATGATGATATTAAGGGAAATGCAAAACTTTCCAAATGAAATGTGGAATGTTTCATACAGGTAGTCCTCGACTTCCAGTAGTTCATTTAATGACCAAAGTTACAATGGCGCTGAAAAAAGTGGCTTAAGACCGTTTTTCACACTTACGACCGTTGTAGCATCCCCATGCTCATGTGATCAAAATTTGGACGTTTGGCAGCTGACTCATTTATTATGGCTGCAGTGTCTTGGGGTCATGTGATCACCTTCTGCGGCCCTCTGACAAGCAAACTCAGTGGGGAAGACAGACTTACTTAACAACCATGTTACCAATTTAAGAACTGCAGTGATTCACTTAACAACTGTGGCAAGAAAGGTTGTAAAATGGGGCAAAACTCATTTAACAGATGTCTTGCTTAGCAACATAAATTTTGGAATCAGTTGTGGTCATAAGTCGAGGACTATCTGTATTTGAAACACCAAATGGTCATGCTCAGAATGGCTAATTTTTGTGTGCAAACTAGCTGCTTTGACTGTGAAACAAGTTATTTTAACCATGAGGGTGAAGGTTCGTTCTCTGAGCTTGTGAGTTGGTTTCCGAACGTTTTGTTACCAGGCTAGATAACATCTTCAGCAGAGTTTACGGAATGTCAGTGTCGCCTATTTCCCTATTTTACCTGTGTTAGAAGTGTTTGACCTCAAAACAGCTCTGAATTGCTGGAATGTTTTACACACCCATCATGGTATTGATATGATTTTGCATTAAAGCCTTCCCCCAAAGAAACTATGATTGCTTTGATTGCCAAAACAGGAATTACAGTAGCTCATTGCAATTTAAAAATCATATTTAAGGGGGAAAAATCTTGGTCATTTAGATTATCTTTGATAATTTGGAACTGGTCATTGTGCCACAGGTTTCTTTGTTCGAGGATCCATTTGGTTGTTTCCTTGACTGCCTGTGGTATTCTGCAACACTAATGGAATGTGGGAATGACCTTGAGGAAAGGGTAGAAGAGATCCTGCCTAGGAAACAATCAGAAAAGAGAGGGAGGAGCCCCCAGTGGCTTAACAGTCATAGAAGAAACTTAGAAAAGACCTGCTCTCATAAATCAAGCAGCTAAAAGTGGCATCAGGAAGTTTTCTAGGTTCAGACTTGCAAAATTCTCTTAATGTAGCCTTTCAATAAGGTAGATTGGGTGTTGGCAACCCGCGGCTCCGGAGCCACATGCAGTTCTTTGGGTCCTGTGCTGCAGCTCCCTGTCCCATCACTTCCTGGCCCTCACCCTCATGTGGCTTAAGAAGGTAAGGGTGACGGCGGGGGATGGAGAAGTGTCCGGGGCTGATTCTCTGGCACCTCATTCTTGCTGCTTGTTGGTGCTGGGTGTGCCTTCTGGCCCTTGTTGGTGTTGGGCGTGCCTTGCAACCAACACTGGCCTTGCTAACATGAGGGCTGGCGGGGTGGGAATGGGATCTGGGAGGAGGGGACGATGGAAAGGGGGATGGGCCCACAATGCCCAGCTGCGACTTTAAGAACCTCAGGGGGCTGTCCCCACCAAACCTTGCACCCCCACCCCGGGGTCAGGCTTGGAGAAAGCTGGAGCACCCTCACCAAAGATGCTTGCCCATCACCCAGTTTCCCCCCTCTCTATGTCTCTCTCTGTATGTGTGTATCTCTCTCTCGCTCTCTGTCTGCATCTCTTCTCCCTGTCTTGGAAAGCCACGGCTGGGACAAGCCAGCCAGCAAGCTCACTTTGGGCCTCTTGGCTATTCCTTTTATTTTTTCTGGAAATCCAGGCTGGTTGAGGAACAATCACCAGCTGTGGCAGGGGCTTCCCTTCCGGCGACCCTCCTTCTCATGACCTGGGGCTCTGCCATGGCCGGGAAGCTGTGCACACACGGCAAGACCCTCAAGTGAGCACCAAAGCGCAGCAAACGCGTGCGCGGGGAGGGCGGCCGCTTAAGAAGGGTCTTAATGGGACGCAGATTCTCTCCTGCACGAAGCCTCTGGCCATCGACTTGCCATGTCAGCATTCCACCCCCACCCCCCCACCAGCAGCTCTTCAGCTGAGCATGGAGGGCGCGAGCTCCAGCTTGAAGCGGTAGGAAGCAAAGGCTGCCTTATGCGTAAATGTGGCGCGAAGGCAGTACAGGGCCACTTAGCTCCTGCACTAAGGCTTCGGCGACCCTCCTCCCCTTCCTCTTCCTCTCGCGATCCCCTGGCCTGCTGTGGCGGGGCTGGGAGGGTGCGCACGCGTGGGGAGACCCTCAAGCAAGCGCTAAAGCACAGCAAAGGCACGTGCAGGACGGTCGGCTGCTCACTTGAGGGTCTCCCCGCCCGTGCACACCCTCCCGGCCCCACCACAGCTGGCCAGGGGGTCGTGAGGAGAAGGAGGAGGAAGAGGGTCGCCCGAAGAAGAAATAAAAGGAATAGCCAAGAGCCCCAAGAGAGCTTACTGGCTTGGCCCAGCAGAGAGAGAAAGAGAGACAGAGAGGGGGGAGAGATACAAAGAGAGAGATACACAGAGAGGGAGAGGGGCAGAGAGATACAGAGAGACCTAGAGAGAAGGGTTTTGAGGCTGAGTAGGCATGGCTAGGGTCATGTGACTGGGTGGGAGTGACATCAAGTTGGCCACGCCCACCCAGGTTTTGTGGCTCCTGGTGTTTTTTTTTCCGTGTCCAAACCGGTCCAATTGGCTCTTTTGAGTGTTTAAGGTTGCAGACCCCTGAGGTAGATTTAGTTCATCTAGTTGTGTTGTCTGTCTGGTTTACACCGGAGGGCTGACAGACACCAATTCAAAAGCATCAAGACTTCCTCTTCCTGCTTCTTTAATACTCAGCTACAAATGTTAGCAATCTAATATTAAAATCTCCATTTAAATAAATAGACCAAATCAAGAATCCATAGATAAAGACCTGTTCTTTTTGTCCCTTCATTGCTGAAAATAAGAATGTTTTTTATATCTTTATACCTAGCCCTAAAGGACTCCTTAAATCACTAACATAAAATTTGTTTCCCTCATATAGGCCATGTTGTTGAGGAGAAGCCTACTTTACCTCAGAATGATACTTTGCTAGTCCCAGCAATAGAGGAGAAAGGTGTCTGGACAGCCCCAGAAGAGCGAAAACAACAAGAAGAACGACCTTCCTTGCCCATTCCACTTCTGCCACCACCCAAGAAACGCCGGAAAACAGTGTCCTTCTCAGCTGGTGAGGATGAAGGGACCTTGGAGAAGCCACTGGAATTGGCACCTTTGGGTTTCCTAGCCCCACCGCCTCCACCTCCTCCTCCTGTCCCCACAGGGGACGCACAATCTCTATTAGTTCCTGTGGAACCCATGCTACCACCCCAAGTGTCCTTAACCTCAGATGCCCCAGTTCCAGTTACCTGCACCTTGCCTCCCACAGCCTCCCCGGTAAAGCTAGTGGCTCTTCCCAGCCACAGGCGGGAGCTGCCAAAAGCCAGTAAAAAGACAATCAGCAACCTGCCAGCAGACCACGCTTCCCTTGTGAAATGTTGGTCAGAGGATATGCCAACTGGTCGGTCCAGAAATCGTTCTCGCTCACGAATCTTAGAACATTTGAGGGTACCACAACCCCCAGAGGAAGATAGACTGCACGTGCGTGAGCAGATGGGGGCTTCCTCATTACTGGAGCTGGCCAATCAGCCTGATCTGGCTGTATTGGCAGATGTGGCTCTCAAGATGCCTGCCATTGCAAGTAGAGAAGATTTGGAGACGACCTCGGATGAATCTCTGGAGCCAAAATGTCTGCCACCTGTGTTATCCCTTGAAGTCAGCAGCATCTTCATGGAGCATAACTATGCCATGGCAGTGCATGCAGCACCAGTAACTGTCTCCCAGAAACACAATGAGGCATCAATGCTTGGTTCTGCTGACTTGTTGCAGATGGATGTATATAATGAGCACATTGGTGAGGTTCTGGAGGCTCCTGAGGAGATAGTGCCAAATGCCAATGAAGTCAGAACTGAATCTGAAGTGGGTAATCTTGTTGCACTGGCACCTCCACCTCCCCAACCTCTTGAAAAGTCTAAGGTGCCTGCTGGCCCAGACCAGCAGCAGCCACAGACGACAAAATTTCCACATGGCCTAAAGGAGGAGGCCGTAAAGGATCCAGGAGCATTACCTTTTGGCCCAGAGAGTTTGTTCCCTTCTGAGAGTGAAGAGGAGGAAGAGGATGACGAGAGCCTTGACAGCAGTGATGAAGGGGAGATTCGTAGGAGATCTCTGCGCTCTCATTCACACAAGCACACACCTGCCCAGCCCCCACTTCCACCCCCAGTCTTTGAGACACACAGTGAATTTGAACAGATGACAATCTTGTATGACATCTGGAATTCAGGGCTAGATTTGGAGGACATGAAATACTTGAGGCTGATGTACGAGCGCTTGCTGCATGAGGACAATAGCACAGACTGGCTGAATGACACCCATTGGGTCCAGCACACCAATATCCTTCCTGAAATATGTGTTAGATTTGTGGGTAGGCTGTGGCTCTCATAAACTTGTATTGAAAGGATAGCAAACCTGAGGCTTTCCAGGTACCTCTGTGCTACAGTTTTCAGTGTTCTTGAGCACAGACCAGGCTGGGAATTGTAGTTCAGCATCTGGACAGCTTCTCTATCTCACTTTAGCACTCTTTTATTATACCATCAGCAGAGATTTCTGGGTATTATATTTTGTTGAGTTCTTCTGGGAATCCTCTGTTGCACATTCTAGTCCTCTTCCCTCCTTTCCTTCAAAGATTTGCAATTCTCTAGATAGAAGGAATGGCTGTTAATCAAGATGGAATCTGTAGTGTCAATACATCTAGGGCAGGGGTGTCAAAGTCAAGGCCTGCAGGCTGAATCGCCCATGGGGTGCTTAGATGTGGTCCGCAGGGCCGCCCTGGAAACAGTGAAGGACCGGCCCGTGGTGCCTCTGCCAGTGAAAATGGAGCTCAGGAGGGCCGCATGTGGTCCCCTGAGCTCTGTTTTTGCCAGTCGTTTTTGCTTGCAGAGGGTTGCAGCAGGCCGTCCCAGCTGAAAACAGAGCTCACAAGCCCCCCCCCCCCCCCACTCTGTTTTTGCTGGCAGACGGTTGCAGGAGGCTATCCCAGCCGAAAACGGAGTTTGGGAGCCCGTTTTCGCTGGCAGAGCGCTCAGGCCACCACAGGCGCCCCCCAACATGAGTTGTGTCATGCTGGCCACACCCACCCCGGCCCCTCAAGGTCAAACATAACCCTGATGCGGCCCTCAGTGAAATCAAGTTTGACATCCCTGATCTAGGGCTGTTGTGACCCGCCAGCTGCCAGCAGAGCTGGCAGCAGACTCAGACGATGAGGAGGTTGGGGAAGAACTTGGGCCAGTTCTGGAGCCTGGGGAAGGCTCTGATGGATGCTCAGCGTCGGACACAGATAGAGTCAGGGCCGTCCGGCATTTCCCAGCCAGAGAGGCAGCTGCCTTTGGAGTTAGAGATGAGTGAGGAGGAGAAACATCTGGGGCCTGTTCCAGATGCGTGTATGCACAGAGCAAATAGGAGAGGTGAACAACGGAGGACAATGAGCCGGCTCAGGAAGCAAAACAAACGTGGATGCTGACTGGCCCCTCCCTGACTGGGGAAGAAATAGGAGGAAAGGGGAGAGGTTGGGTTGTCACAGACAACCGTTCGGATTTCAGGAAAGTTTGTGTGACAAAGACTGCCTTGCCAGAACTGAGGTTTGTCTATTTTTCTGGTTGAACTGACATTAACGTAATTTGAACTCAAGGCCTTGCATTTAACATAATGAGCTGATAAGGACTATTGCTTCAGTTAACTCTTTGCAGGACTCTTGCCTGGACTTTCTTTTGGTGAATGCAGTTAATTCCCAATGTGTAATTAAAGAGTGGGTTTTCTTTGCGGGGAGACTGTTTCTTGTGTCTGCGAAGGCCGGGTCAGAACAACGGCTTTCCATCTTTCCTACTGTATTACCTATTTTATCTAAAGGAAGTAGAAAAAGAGTTAATTTCAGATTCCCATTATTAGACTTCATTGGGCAAATTTAATGGAATTCTGTCAAACATGGAGTATACAGCATAAAGAATTTTATATTCCAAAACAACAGAACCTTTGGTGTACAAGACTATATTTTAAGTGCAATGATACTATCTCTCCTCCAGAGCTGCTATTCAGTCTCCTCTCAAAGGTGCTTTTTCAAAAGGCAACTGGACTGTTTTTTCTTTGAGGAGGAGGAGGAAGTTGTTTTGTTTCTTATCCAAGAAGCTTCATCAGTTTTGGCAGGATGGTAGGGGTGATGGAAGGAATTCTTTCTTCCATCGCCCCTACCATCCTGCCAAAACCGATGAAGCTTCTGGGGTGAGAAGTGAAACTTCTTCCTCAAAGGAAAAAAACAACAGTCCAGTTGCCTTTTGAAAAAGCACCCTTCAGACAACTATGACCTGAATGACTGAGAATCTCCACAGATTTTCAGTCTTTTTTTTTTTTTTTTACCAAATTGCAGTTGGTAATTGGATTGTGCTTGATGGCAAATATTGAAACTGGGATTACTTCTTACTACTGTGCTAGATTCAAAAGTTTTAGGCCAACTAGTTAAAACAAATTGCAGAAGATACACATAGTCCTTATTTAGCAGCTGTCTTGAATTAGTGACTATTTTCCATTATGACTGTGATGAAAAAGTAACTTTATGACTAATCCTTGCATTTTAAGACCTTCCAGGGTTTGTAAAGCAAAGAATCAGCTGAAGTAATATCATAAGCACAGTCACAGTTTCACTTTGACCACTTCACTTAACCAAGTGGTCAGTCCCAATTGTGGTTGTTAAATGGGGTATTGCCTGTATTTTAAAAAAAACTGTCTTAAAAATCAAAGATTGCAAGATTTCAGTTTTGTATATTCAGCTTTAATGCTGCCTAATTAAATTTAAAAGCAGTAAGATGCACAATGGGGAGGCTCTTTTCTTTTTGTGATTATTTACATATAAACATACAAATTCTGGAGTGGAAAAATGGCTGTTTTCTCCTCCCTTCCTGTTGGTCCAAGGCCTTTAAAAGAGAGTCGTATGAGCAGGAAGTATTTGTGGCAATACTTCCTGCTCATATTTGTGGCAATACTTCCTGCTCATATTTGTCTTCCAATAGATGAGAATATATGTAGCTCAGGGTTGAACTGTGCAGTTTTTGGTGTTCTCTGAGGTTGAATGTTTGTAGACATTTCACTACCTAGCTAGGTAATGTCATCAGCGCTATATGATACTTCTCCTTAACTCCCCTGCCTCCACTTACAAACATTGCAAATCCCAAACGGAAGAGGAAATTATCTGACCTGCGGGAACATCAAACAGGTTGTGCCCGTAGTGAGGGCTACTACCACATCAGTAAGAAGGAGAAGGACAAATACCTTGACATGTGCCCAGTTACAGTGCAGCAGTTGGACACCACTGATACCCAGGTTTGGCCCCTGTTCTTGTGATGTGTTCATCTGTTTAGCATGTTCTATGCAGCACTGACTCCAGAATAACTGATGGAACCATCAAAACAAAATGAGCTTAGGTAGACCACACATAAACACTAGGACTGGCTATAAACGACAGTGAAAAATTCTGCACCACGATAATTCTTAAACCTTGTGTAAGAGAAGCACTCACAATCATTTTCAGCTTTGTGGTTTAACCGGATTTTTCTTAATTTGTGTGAAATTTTCTACCACTACATTTTGCTATCATTGACAAGTGAGGTTAAGATGCTGAAGATACACCACCAGCAACCTGGGAATGCTTCTCAGCAATTCTTCAATATTCTTAGGTTTCACGAGACATTGCTTAAAATTGTTAGTCATTTTCCTTTATTAATAAAGATTGGAACTGTTTTTAAAAATGAAAATCCAATAGAAAGCAAAAGAATGGGAAAATAATGCAGAAGTGCAGTTTATGTGAAGTGGAAATGTTGAGTGTGCTCTCATTTTATGTCATATCATTGCTCCAACCAATTAACCTGGTAACTGTAGAAGGAACAACCTTTTTAATGTTATTTTACGTAATGGTATATGCATGTTAGCCATACCATGATTTAGAAGTAGTTATGGTTCATTTATAATACTTAGGTTTATTTATTCATATATTTTTAAGTAGTTAGATTTATTTATTTATTTATAGGCTTATAAGTTATCATTTTGTAGGCATATAGGTTATCAATGTATATGAGTGAAGCCTTACTGTGTTATGGAAAACAATATTCAAATTGCAAAATTTTAAAAGTATTCCATGTAGCTCCTAAGGCACTATCAGCACGGGAGACTATATGAAAAGCTTTAACTGTTGGCAGTATAATATGCAAATTGTTTGTTAGTTGGTATGTTTATTTTGGATCTTGTTGTGCAATTAATAGTATATGTGAGAAATTCTAGTATTTTTGTGGCCATAGAGCAGTATTTCTCAACCTTGACAAGTTTAAGCGATATGGACTTCAGCTCCCAGAATTCTCCAGATAGATGCTGTGGGGAATTCTGGGAGTTAAAGTTCACACCACTTAAAGTTGCCAAAATTAACAAACACTGTCAGAGAGAAACATTGTCCACCTTAAGACATTGTCATCTTGCCAAGGATGGATATATCCATAATTCAAATAATGAGATTTTTTTCCCCTGACTGCTTCCTTTACTTTCATTATTTCTAACAAGTTTGTCGTGCCTTCCCAGGGCACCAACCGCATCTTGTCAGAACGACGATCTGAGCAAAGGCGTCTGCTGAGTGCCATTGGCACCTCTGCTATCCTCGATAGTGACCTTCTGAAACTTAACCAGCTAAAGGTACCAAAGTGATTTTATTAAGCAAATTGAAAAAAATAGAAGAGAAGATGTCAGCTAGGGAAGGGAGCATTGTGGATGGAAAAAATTGGGACAGTAAACTTTGGTTTAATGATATTTCCTGATGATGTTTTTCTTTGTGGCCTAGGATATATTAAAGCATTTATTTTAGTTTAAGTAGATGAACATTGATAGTACTCTAAATTAAATAACTCCCTTCTCCCTTTTCATTTATTGTAGGTTTATTTATTTTGTTTATTTTCTAATTGGCCAAAATTGAAGATGCATTTCCTTTTTTGTGCAACTTCCCTTCAGAATTTTGAGGACTGATCATCCTATGTTTTTAAAAAATGATAAAACCATAATAAAATCCTATGGAGATACTCAAGTCGTCCAGGTTATGGTTGTCCCAAAGGTGCTTTCTTTCAAGAGGCAACTGGACTTTCTGGTTTTTCTTTGAAGTCATTTCACTTCTCATCCAAGAAGCTTCTTCAGCTCTAACTGAAGAAATTCAGCCCCACCATCCAGTCAGCTGAAGAAGCTTCTTGGATGAGAAGCAAAACGTCTTCAAAGAAAAACCAGAAAGTCCAGTTGCCTCTTGAAAGAAAGCACCTTTGGGACATAATAAAATCCAGTTTACATGCTGGTGTGTGTGTGTGCACGCGCATAAGGCAGTTTCTCTCAGGCAGCAGAATAAAGAACTTACACTCCATTCCTGGGGTTTTCCACTTCCTTATATTTCCCTGCAGTTCCGGAAAAAGAAACTCCGGTTTGGACGGAGTCGAATTCACGAATGGGGCCTGTTTGCAATGGAGCCAATTGCTGCCGATGAAATGGTCATTGAATATGTGGGGCAGAACATCCGCCAGGTAAGCAAGCAAAAGCAGGCTGAGGTCTGTAAAGTAATACTTCTGTTTTTTAATACCTTCATCAGTTCTGCCAGACGTCAGATACAACAACATGGAGATTTCTAATAACAATTTACCTTAAGACCAAAACTATTACTGTAATTTAACGTGCTGTTTTTAATACATTGATTTTATTTAATTTTGAAGAAAAGACAGTTATGCTTGGAACATTAACATCTGAACATCTGTAATGAATATTGATAGAATATCTCTATTCTTTTTATTTTGTTCTCTTATCTGCATTTAATATTCTAAAGCCCCTATGTAAAAGAATATTAATCTATTATATAAATATAACTGAATTAAAATAACACAGTGTACTAAAACCTAGAAGATGGAACACTAGATGAGTAATATGGTTAGATTTAATAATATATGCTAGTCCTATATCAACATTCTATTGGCATACTTTTAGTTTTTACAAATGTCGCTCATTTATGCTGTTTTCTGGTTTTAATAGCACTTTTGTACTTTTGGTTAGTCTTCATCATATTTTCTGATTAGGTGATAGCAGTTTCTAAAAGTTTTGCAAATAGAGGCGTTTTCTTTTTCGGTCCAGTTGGGTAGTAGAGAACTGGCAATGATATGTAGAGCAGAGTTTTTCATGATTTAATACTCATATTTTTCAAGCTGCTTGGAACAATGCTGAGAGCTTTTTTTGGATGGTGGATTGAATAAATGGCAGCTGATTTTACATCCACCTGAATAAAAGCATGGAGAGTGGTAGTTGGAAGACTACATAGTTGCAGTTTATACAGTCTGATGACTGCCCCCCTCACTTCCCTTTCACCAAGAGAGGAGGTTTCACTTCTATTCTGAGACTGCTATGCTCATTCCTTTTCAAAGATGGTGGCAGATATGCGTGAGAAGCGGTATGCCCAGGAAGGTATTGGGAGTAGCTATCTTTTCCGTGTGGACCATGACACAATCATCGATGCTACCAAGTGTGGCAATCTTGCCCGTTTCATCAATCATTGCTGCACGGTGAGTAATGTGGGGATAGTTTCTTGTTGTGATTCTTGCTATTGTCCATTCTGTGACAAATTTAGTCTTTTACAGAGAATATCTTGGGAGAGGGAGGGAGGGAGGGAAGAGAGAGAGAGATATTCCTTCAACAAACTTAGCATGTAATATATTGGCACTCCTTACAATAGGGCAGCCTGCTCCACTCTGCTTAAAGTCTTGCCAGGATCAGGACTCTAGGTGTCTATCATCAAATGTCTTAGGACAGTGGCAAAAGGGAAAAGCCCTTGTGAGCTCCTTCGCAGAATACTGTTCAATCAGGAATGTACATTTCCCTTGTTCCCAGCATCTTTTTGTTTCAGTCCCAAATGGCCTTTGGGTTCCCTTTCCTTTCTAATACAATGGTGGCCACAGGATGGAGTTTGAAAGGTGCTTGTGTTGGCAAGAGGTGACCTGCTGCTTTCTTTCAGAGCCTCTTCACTCAGGTCTGTCTTTCCTTTCTTTAGCCCAACTGTTATGCCAAAGTCATCACGATAGAGTCCCAGAAGAAGATTGTTATCTACTCCAAGCAGCCTATCAGCATCAATGAGGAGATTACATATGACTACAAGTTCCCAATTGAAGAGAACAAGATTCCCTGCTTATGTGGCACAGAGAACTGTCGGGGGACCCTGAATTGAAACAGAAGCCAGGCATTCCTATTTATTTTGTTTGCTCACCCCATTTTTCACCAGTAGTTTAGCATCTCTTCCCAATTTCTCAGTCGCCTTAAGACCCATCTGGAATCTTTTAGAAGTTTTCCATTTGCCTCTCCTCAGGTTCCTAATCAGTGAGAAATTTCCTTTTCTTCCAGTCAATCAGAAATGGTTCTTTCCTTCTCTTTTACGCTGGTGTTTCTGTCATTTTTGATCCAACTCCAAAACAGGTAGCAGTTAAACACCTCTCCCTCCTTGGATTAAGAAAAGCTTTAATCTTCATTGCCTACAAGTCGGTTCTGCTTTTAAATTTGGCAAAAAGTTTGAGTCTCCTGTTCACTGAAGGGTATGCTAAACAAAATTGATTCCCTTCAGTTTAAGGATCTTCAACATGTTGAGGTCAGTTAATAAAACGCTAGGAATTGCAGGGTCCAAGAAAAAACTGAAGGATTTTGAGACCAGTGTTCAATGTTCTTGAATGGTACACATAGCGAAGAGTTGATGAATCCTTGAAATTTTATAGTTGAGTTTTTTAAACCATTGGATATTCAGAGTTTTCCCTGAACTCTTGCTAGATATAGCCAAGATTACCCAAGGATTATAACTTCCCAGTTTCATTTAGCTATATTTTTTACCATGTGCAAAGATTTGAAACTTTTCAGGCTTCAGATGATTTATTCCTAATTCCATCTGTCATTTATTCTTCCAACTACACACTTAAGGTTACAATAGCAAAGATTCTGAAAAGTAATTGTATGGTGCCATTCAGATTGAACCTCCCTTTCCTTGTGTTGTGTCTGCCTTGCGATAGGTATTGAGGGGGGGAAATCCAGAACCCACATAATTAAGGGAGCTGTTTCTTTACTACAGTTATGGCCTCAATCATCTGGCTCATAGCATAAGCTAAGACCTTACCCCCTCCTTCCATATTTTTTCCTTAGGAGAAGAAAGTTGTGTATATAACTAGTCCAGCTGGATTGGCTGTTTCTTGTAGAAACACATGTTTACTGGTATGTAAATGTTATTTTTGTTGTCTACTTCATACTGAAAAGAGAGCTGTAGCTAATGTTTCATTGTATTTCCTTCTCCTGTTTTTATCTATATTTGCATCATGCCACCTTTCTCTCTTAATGCAAATGGTATTTTGTTTTCTTTTTTAATCCTGGAGAAAATGGATGGGCTATTGGAGGTCAGCAATGTGTATTTCATTAACCACTTACATGGGAGTCAGTTAAAACAAAAGACTTTAGGCACATCAAGCTATTTCAACAGGATTTACTCTTTCTAAAATGTCCTCTCACCATTCTGGTTGTTTTTGTGTGTTTCTGAACTGCTGTACTGAGATGGCAATTCTATTGAGGGCATTTTTCTCTCTCAGTGGACTACCTAGAGTTAAGATATATTGAATGGCTTCCAACTTCCCCAATCTGGATATCTGAACAGACATTGCAGAGAGAACAACACATGCTCAGCAAATTCTGCTTTAGTAGTGGGGACATAAGTGGAAAAGAGGAGGTGTGCTTTTAGGATAAGTGTGGGGTGAGATGCCCAAATCCTTGTTGCTCTACCATGTCAAATGTAAACATAAACTTACACACACACAAACGGGAAGCCACTGAGAAGGTGATTTGATTCCTTATCCTGGCCTTGGGGAAAAAGCAGAATAGAAGGCAGTCTCCTATTGATGTCACAAACTAATCCCATTTCTGGGATAAGTGTTACCTAACAACACCCACTGGATAGTGTTGGTTTGTCAGCTCCACACATCCTTCGCTTTTCAACTGTTTTTTGCCCATCCCAGTAACCTGATAGCTGAGATGAATCTGTTTAGGTAGTGAGAGTAGGAGCTGTAGACCAGATTTTTAAGTGTGTCCCATTTATCTCTTCTTCCTGAAAACAGCTCCTTCCTCATTGTTATTATTTAGTGAATAAGTTGGGAACGTGATTCTAATTAAAGTTTATTTCAACATTTGAAGGCTAATGAACAAGATCGTTAAATGGCATCTTCTCCTGAGAGCCGTTCGGATCATCCAGAGAGTGGGAGGTGCTTCAGTCTGCGTCGTTGAAGGCTGAGCTTAATTACTGAGGAGCGCTCCGCCCTCCATCACGTGGCTCCCTTGCGTTCCCCAGTTTACGCTCAGCCTTCGTGAGGATAGGCTGTGTGAATCGTTTCTTCGAGCTCCGGCGCCAACCCCCTCCCCCCCCCCCATTCGGTTTATTCCTGCCGCTTCTCCACGCCGCCCTTATAGCGGCCTGATTCGATCGCGCTACAAAGCGCAGCTGGTGTTCCCCCCCACTACGAACGCCGATCGCCCCAGGAAGGGGCGAAATCTTGCCTGGATGCCTCTCTCGGCCTCTAAATCGGCCGGAGAGGCTTAATCTTCGCTCTGAGTGGCCCGACATAGGACGGTTGTGGGCGGCCGCCATTTTGGGAGCCGTCGCGTGCTCGGGCGCCCTTTTTTTCTCCGGCCTCATTGTAGCTGCGAAGTTACTAGATTCATTCACAGGCCTTCTAGCCTATGAGAGCTGTATTGGGCATTGTAAAACAATTGTTGGCTTTCCGCAGCAGCGCTCAGGGCATAGTATTGCAGCCTATCCCTCCCGGTTGTTGCCTGGGAGCTCCAGCTGCCAGAGGCCTCCTTTTCAGCCTCAGGCGTTCATTTGGCCAATTGGAATATATCTAGCATCAACCTCTGGGGTCACTCCCTCCTGGGAGCACTGAACCAGCTTTCGAGTTAGATATCTCTTCAAAAAATAATAATAATAATAATAATAATAATAATAATAATAAATAAATAAATAAAAAA